AGGGTTTCTGTTACAAGTTATGAAAACAAAATGAGAATTAGAAACAGCAGGCTCATCACTCCATCGTACACACTTATATCAAGTGTAATGTACATGACTTATCGAACATAAATTGGCCTACAATTGACATGAAGTTAAAGATTATCTACAAAAAGAAAGTTTTGTACAGCATCGATGTATTTTACAAACACTTGTAAACAACATCAATCTAATTAAAATATAAATCTCTGATTTCGTTATCCTCATTTGAGCTTATATATAAGAGCATGCTAGTTAATAAAGATCAGAATTTTAATAAGAGCGAAACAACATAGAAAAAATTGCCGAGCTAGTAGCAGCTATTACGTTTCATTGTCTACTGTTAAGTTGAAAGCCCACCGACTAGCTTTAGGTAAGAGAGCTAATTTCAGATATTCTTTTTCTTTTAAATCGCATTCGACGCAAGTAGCAGGATGCGAGGAATACAGAATACAATCTGATAATGGTGGCGGCAACACCGTAAACTGTTTGTATAGCTTTATATTTCAGAGGGCAGAGGAACTGGATGATTCATACTTTGTATATAGATCCATTGTGTTACGAAGTTTCCGTCATATCCTTGACCTCATATTCATGGTTAAGTGACTGCTAAAAAACTGTATAGCTTTTTTCGTCATGTGAAGGTCTCAATGATCATGAGTTCTAGGATAACTATATTTGGTTACTAATATATGGTATCCTTGCAAGGTCTACATGACCATCAGACATGATTCACCTGACATCGAAATAATTTCACGGACTCGGAACAAGGTTAAGTTTCAGTGGTCAAGACATGACCGTCAGACATGATTCACCTGACCTCGACCTAATTTCACGGTCAAGTCCGTACAGTCTCAGATAGTAGTGGGTTAAATATATTTGGTGTATGGAATGGTTACAAGGTATACATGATTTTGTAGCAGAGTGCATCTGACCGTACCTCATTTACATGGAACATAGATAGTGTTAATTTTATGTAAAACTTGTTGTATAATATATAAATTAGGAGATGTGGACGCAAGCAATTATAGGCAACCGTACGGCCTTCGACAATGTGAAAAACTCATACCGTATGGTCGGCTATAAAATGGCCAGTTATGAAAAAAATGAAAGAATTCATTTGAAAAAAAAAACTAACGGCCTGATTTATAACAAAAGCTAGTTTTTACGGTAATGATGTTTATGATCATACATTTCTCAGACTATGATGACGGAAGTTTTTAACGACCTTGACTGGCTATACAGCCCTCGCACGGTCGGGTTCTTAGACTATTGATGACGTCCTTTCATTAGTTTTCAGTAAGGGAATGCACATTTGATTTCGAAAACAGGGAGGGAATGAGGATTTTGAAAATGAATTACTTGGCCTGATATGAACTGAAATAATTGACTTTGCACAAGAAAGGATGAGAATGAACACTCTTCAACATGAAATGCAGGATAGTTGAGGATATGAATGTGTACAAAAGTGAAAATAAATTTTAGCGCCGCCAGCCCCATTCCTTTCTTTAGAATATAAAATGTTTTACCCTAACGGCGAGTACTATTATATCGGTACTTAGTGTTTTTTTGTCTTCATGGTAGTTGTTTTTGTGGTTCATGCCGATTTGATAAGTCAAGCCATTTCAAACTGTTTTCAGCAGATTTTTCTTATGCTGTGTTGTTATACCATTGTCCAGGTCAGGGGAGGGTTGAAGGATCACAAACATGTTTAACCCTCTAAATTCTGTATGTGTCTGTCCAAAATAAGGAGCCTGCAATTCAACGGTTGTCGTTGGTTGCTGTCTGTTGTACCTGTTTTTATTTTGTTGCACGAACGGTGGTATATTTTCGTTCCCACAGAGCCTCGGAGGGATTTATGTCGAAAACATCATACAAGACTTTTGATGTGCCATATTCCGGGTGTGAAACAAAACCGACCGATTTGATTCTTATACTGTGGATTCATTATTATTCGTTGGATACCAATTTTCGTGGGTTTCGTGGGTACAGGTGAACCACGAATTTAAATGTTCAACGAATAGCAAATGTTCTATAGGCTTTATATGCAGAGATTGGCAAAACCACGAAATCAAATATCCACGTAAATGCAAGTTTTCCACAATCCACGAAAATTGATACCCACGAAAATAAATTAATCCATAGTACTACAATTATAAAAAAATATTTATTCAATAAAAAGTTTAAAGTTTTAAAAAACAAACACAAAACAGATTTCGCCGAACAAAGTGACAATCTACAAAGTTAGCTGGCTATTCACAACAAATAAATCAACCACACAACAAGCAAAAAAGAGTAATGTTTTGAGTGACCTCTGTCCTTGTTAATGACCTAATAGTGTAAGCAACAAAATGATTAATGACACGAGATAATCCGTGTTTAATCAATACCAAAATGTTGACTTAATTTGTGTTTTTAATTTCTAATTTCTTCAAAACGATTTTTATTTCACGCATGCAATTTGGCACAAACATACACTATGTCTTATTGCTTAGATCAGAGTAAAAAATATTGTGATGATACACGTAATAATTTTGCTTTCGATGAAAATAGGGTAAATTTCGGGTAAAATTTTACTCTTACTAAAATGCTGAAATACTTATATCAAAATCACTTAAATACTTTTCGATTTCGTTATATGATATATTTAATATATAAACTATATTATAGGTACTGTTTTAACTACCAACAAAGTACGCAATAATTTTATTTTTCATGTTAAAGATTCCCCGTACAATACGGTATCTGGGTGTACCCTATAAAAACACGAAATTTAGAAAATCGTGACCACGGGAACTTACGACGACAATCATGATTGTAAAATATAATGATTTTCCTATAATGTGCAAAAAAATCAGCCGTGTGTTATCCGTTAACTTAAACTCGTTAACTAGAGGACTTTTTGGACATTGGGCACCCTACTATTAGTCTTCTCATATTGATCATATAATAAAAAAAAAGTCAACTCTTCTTTAGCTTTGCTAAAGAGAATAAAGAAATACTTGAATCACAAAGCGAGAAAAATGTATTATAATGCTTTTGTTTTACCTCATGTATCCTGTGGTTGTTCAATATGGGGGAACTGCAACAAGTTTCTATTAGATAGTTTACTACAACTGCAAATGAGGGCAGCAAGAATAATTTAAGAAGAACATGATTACAGCAAACCTTCTAGCGAATTATTTCACGAATGTGACACTGTGTCGATTACAAAAAGAATACATTATCATAAATCATTACTTATCTATAAGCCAAAAATTGGTTTAGCTCCAGAATATTTGTCTTATTTTATCAGCTTCTGCAAACCAAAAATACATACGAGATTTTCGTCTTCTGATAATTTTATAATTCCAAAACCAAATACAGAGTTGTATAAGTCTAGTTTCTCGTACAGTGTACCAAACGTTTGGAATAATCTTCCTTATACAATCAAAAGATCAAACACAGTATTAGAATTTAAACATAACTACAAATCTATGTACTTTAAACTTACCATGATATTTGTACTTTAATGCCAATAATAATAATTGTTTATCGAATTTAAATTGTATTGTAACTTTATTTATCATTATTATTGAATTTTTATTGTTTAATTTTTAATGTTATCATTATTGTATTAAGAGAGCCTTATTGAACATTAGTGTAATCCAAATGAGTTACTCTCTCTAAATAAAGATATTATTATTATTATCATTATAACGATATCTCACTAGCTCGGTAAAGATCATTCATATAGTTTTAATATCTCATTGTGTATAAAGGAAATCTAAGGGCCGGCTTCTATGACATTCAATTGTTTCTAAATTAGGGGTCTATGGAAAAAGCTCTCCAAATCATTTTTTTTTATTAAAATTACAGTAGAGTTGATTCATTACTTTCGAAGTATAACAAATTTGAACAAATAAGAATCATGCGGCTCCATGCTTTCGCGCAGTTTCGCTAAAATGAACTATAATATTACATAATGAACTTGTATTCTTGCACTAATAACCCAGACGGAAACTATACGTGGAGCAGGATCTGTTTATAATGTTACTTTTACATGAGCACCTGAGATCATCCCTGGTTTTTGTAGATGGTCTTCTTGCTCAATCTCTGTTTTTCTATGTAATGTTTTGTAGATTTTGTCTATTCATCGTGTTTTATTTTGTTACCATGGTATTTCGTTTTTCTTTGGGTTTCTTAGTTTCCTGTTAGTATCGTCTATCATTTTCCTAAAACCTAAAAATCAAGTTTGTTTGAAATAAAAAGAATAAGTTATATAAGGTCTATATTTGGCCCACAATTTAGCAAAAATTAAAATTTACCATAAATTTGACCTAGCATAAATAGTGAAACAGTGCAGAAAAAAAACCAACTACCAAATTTGACGAATTATCATGGTAACAGACCATACCATTGTAGTATATAAAATGAGTAGGGAGAGCATATACACACCAAAATAACAACTTCTATTAGTGGGAATATGTAATTAGCTATAAGACCTTCTCTAACATATTATTCAAAATTATACATGTAATGACATAATTATGTAGTCATAACAATACAAATATTGCCTTATTTGTTCATATTTCTGGATTTTATGCGTTTCGTTTTATTATCAAGAAATTTAAAGTTGATTTTAAAAACTTCATTTTCTTCAGCGAAAAAAAACGGACCTTAATGCCATTTCCTTTGTGATTAGCAATCTGTGATTACGAATTAAAAACATCTGTATTAACCGATTCCTCAGATTCGTTATCTCTAATTTAAATCGTTTATTTATAATAACGACTTTAATCCGTTATCTAATTTAAACTATATTGTATCCACAGATTATTGAATGACGTTTAAGAAGTAAATTGGAAAGTACATTTTTAGAAGACAGTCTTGATTTTATTACACCCTATACTAATATTACGGTAATTCTTTAAATTTGTTGCAGATGTATTAAACAACGATTATTTATGTGATGTATACCAATTTTCAAAAGATAACAACGACTGGATATTCACAACTCAAAACTGCTCTGCAAAGTTGAGCTTTATTTGCGTTGGAGGTAAGGCTGCCATTTTTATACAGCTAACCATAAGATTTATAGTAATGTTATGAAATAAACATATGAGATTCGAAAAATACAATTAATTAAAGTATACCGCTTTCCTAAAATGTCAATTAAAATATATCCTGAAATAAAACTACGATTTCAATTAAGAGATAGAAATAGTTATCCTAGTCAGGTATATGATATATCCCATATCAACCACACAAATGTTCTCTGTTATTTAGCTTAAGAGACAATTATTTTATAGTTGATGAGGACTGGATGTAGAACAAACATAAACAGGCAAACAAGTTTTTTTTTACGACACACTGGTTCCATGTTTTATCCAATCTTATTTTCAGTCAATGCTGTTACTTTTATCTTCAAATTTGACAATCATTTATAATACGTCATTCGATTTTGTACAACATGTTTTTTACATTTTATTCGTCAGATAAACTTCAACCCTATACCATTAATAGTTCATGGCTTGTGGCAGATCATATATGCTCCAAGAAAGGCCAACACTTATTACAGACTAAACAAATACTTGGTGATAAATTCAGGCAGAAAATAACAAATTATTGGATATCTTTATTTCGTCGAAAAAAGTTTTCCTGGGGAGAAGGTAATTGTAAATAATGATAAGAAAATTTTTACAATTTATGAAATAGCTAACATTACTATAGGACAACTGATTCATCTTTGTTGTAGAAGGTAGGATATGTTATGCTCTCTCTGCTTATGCTGTCCGTCCGTCCTTGTGTCCGAAACAAATTATTTCCGTGTGATAATTTGAGTAATCCTAGCTAAATTGAAATGAAATTTGTACAGATTATTGATAATGGGAAGGAGGAAAAGCCTACTGATTTTCGGGTCATAAAGTCAAAAGTCACTGTTGAAATTATAAAAAAAAATTTTACTTGAGTTTCAATGGTTTGATCATAATTAAATTTTATTTACAGATGGAAAAAAGTAAAATAACAAAAATATCGAACTACAAGGAAAATTCAAATCGGAAAGTCCCTTATCAAATGGCAAAATCAAAAGCACAAACACATCAAACGAATAGAAAACAACTGTCATATTCCTAACTTGGTACAGGCTTTTCCTTATGTAGAAAATGGTGGATTAAACCTGGTTTTATAGCTAGCTAAACCTCTCACTTCAATGACAGTCGCATAGAATTCCATTATATTGACAATAATGTGTGAGCAAAACAAACAGACATAATAGGTAAAAATGTAAAAAATTGGGGTACAGCAGTCAACATTGTGTTATAATTTTAATCACTATAAAAACAAATAACTATTTGAACAAAGAAAAACAAATTGGCATAAAGACACTCTATAGACAAAGTACATCATCAAAAATGATAGACGAGAATACACAATTCACCAAAGCACAATAACACAATGGCGGGATGTATAAGTACCGAGCCACGCCAAAAGTATATTACCAAAAATGGACTTAACAGTAAAGGTTAAAAATATACACGGTTAAATAAAAAAACCACTATAACACATATTTAAGTTGATAAACAACGTCAGTACCTAGAATCTATACTTCAAAACCATCATGTATCATTCGAGAAGTTGATACGGATTCTTTATCAACAAAGTCTGCTCAGACACTGGTGACGATTATTAAAGTCTGAGTAGCAGCTGCAAGGTCTTGAATACCGAATGAGTTGGGAAATGTATATCCCATATGCAGGTGAAGTTGGTATATTGCTGCTAAGGTGGGGGAAATTGATAATTTCAAAATTAAAATCGTCTCGTTTGTCATAGATTCTGGTACTGAGATGACCGCTTATGTCAAATTCGAGTTATAACTCTTAAAATGGGGGCAGAGGAAGCCTTGTCTGTTGTTTCTTTGATTTCTAGTCCTGGGGATATATTAATGGAACCCAATCAGAAAAGTTGATGGATTGTTAATGGAAAGAACATCATCAATATATCTGAATGTGAAATTAAATGATCTGGCCTATTTGACCTTCTTGTTCTTCACAAGTGTTTGAAGGAACTCCGACTCATATGAAAATAAGAAGAGGTTGGCAAGGACAGGCGCACAGTTCATTCCCATAGGAATGCCGACAATTTTTTGAAAAAGTCTACCTCCAAACTAAACAAATATGTTGTCAATAAGAAGCTCCAGCATACTGATCACTTGTCCCTCTGTGTAGCATGTTTTACCTTTTTGTTCACTATTAACAAAATATACCGTATGGTATCCCAAAGCAATAAATTCATAGCGTATGCTACCATTTTTATATTGAAAAGCATTGTGGATTATATCTTTTAAACGATTTTTCAATTTCATATTGGGAATGATAGTATTCAGGGTTGAAAAATCAAAAGTTTTGATAGAATTAATTTCAGAGAAAGAACGAGATTGAGAATTATCCAGAAGTTCTTCAGAGTTTTTTATAATCCACATTTGGTTAATAGCACTACGCAAGTAAACAATTTCACAGTATTTTTGAAGACCCTCTTTCACTGCGGACAGAAATTTTGTCAATCTAATGGACAAATCCTTTGTAGAAAATGTAAATGAGCCCGCAATGTACCGTTGTTTGTACGGAATTTTGTGAAGCTTAGGTATCCAATACAAACAAGGTAAGTTCTCAGATTTGCTGTTCAATGTAATGTTCATTGAAGCCATGAAGGACTTATGATTCACCAAAATCTCATCCTTGTCTAAAGATATGTTTTTGTATGTGGGATTACCTGAGTGCTCATTTATTCCTAATTATTTTACAAGACACTCGTAGTAGTACGATTTACATATAGGGAAGTGAGAGAGGACTTTTTGATTTTGGGGTCAATGAGTTAAAAATCTGGGTCACTGTTCCTAAAAATCTACTGTGTTAAAGTTGGGTTTATGATGGTAACTTTAGTATCCCTTTAGTTTATAACTAAACTTGTAAGATTGGGAGATATAGAGAAAGGAAAGATTTTTATCGATTTCAATATCAAAGGTCTATGTCACAGTTTCTAAAAATAGACTGGAAATCAAAAATAAAATCTATTTGAACTACATAAAGCCTCTTGAATATGTCTTTTAAAATTTCATGAACATTTTTACTAGGCATGTGCTTCCAGATCTCACGGGTTAGCTAGGGTCCTGTGAACTCCTGCCTTTAAAAAAAGGCACAAAAGGGGTTTCTGTAATTCTAGACTTTTGAAGAAGCATAAATATTTGAGAGCTATATAAAGATTGAATAAAAATCTTGAATCAGTATGTCTAGATGAAATCTCTTAAAACATAACCTTTTTGAAATGTACTATTGCTGTTGGGCATTTGCCACTCTGGGCAGATAGATTCACTGAATAAATATCGACTGGAAAAGAAGAAACATGATGTATTGATCTACGACATAAAATCCCTACAGTAAAAGCAAAGGAAATTCCTTGTATTGCTGTTCTTCATCTGAAAGACCTTTTGAGGCCTGTAAAAATTGTACTTCCAACTTTTTAAAATTTATTCGCAAAATGATGAACCCTTTGAAAGTCAATATCTACAATTATAAATGAAGTTTTGATTCTTGAAAACTCTTGTATTTGACATACTGTAATTAAAATTTAACTTCGCTTTTCGAATTATGAAGCCGTGAGATATTAACTCAATCATACGCTGTATAACATTATTCTTAGTCTTAAGTTAACTACAAATTTTAGATATAAATCAGAATTTAGATAAAATTGAGCCTTATAAAAAACGAAATGTTAACATTTTGCAATTCATTTTTGTTAATTTTTTCTTCCGTTTTCGATCATTCTAAAGGTCATGTGTAAATGTATATGTTAATTGAATATTTTGCAATGTTTAAGTGATCAACAGGGAATGCTACTTGTTGAAAGTCACAAATGATGACCAAAATATATCATAGAACAATTACCATATTTCATTTTACTTACCGGGTTGGTGTACCATGTAATAATGTATTATAGTTTTAACAAAGAAGTAATTCGAGATAAGAAATTTCTAAATTGATAAGTTTTACATTGCATTTTAAAAATCCATTGAAAGTGTATTATATGATTAGAAATCATCGCTCGTAGTTTTCGCCACTTTTTGTTCTTGTCACGAGAAGAGATTTATGAGGTTTCTATTGTTTATCTCAGAAAATCAAATAAACAGACAATAAAGACATATTTAATCACAACCAGAGAACGAGTGGCTCATTTTCTTCTAGCAATGTCTATCTTTTGTTAGATGTTGTACTTTTAATGGTATTTATAAACGCAGAGTAAAACTTGAAATGTTTGAGATGAACATGTTACAGCATTCATCTCCAAAACAAGATTTCAGAAAATAATTGGGAAATATCAGAGAATAATGATATAATTTATTAAAAAACCCAGCACATCTTTGAGTGAAATTGAAAAGTCAAATTGACCTCTAAAATCCGGCGTATAAAACTGTAATCCTGATATCTATGATGAGTTTATTCATTACACTCAAAACAAGTAAACACTGAAACATCTCAAAATGACCAAACACAGTCCATTTTAAAACGCGCATTGGACATAATTTTAGTTATTTTAATCATACTAATATTTTATCAACAGTTAGTGAATTATTTTGTAATGTTATAAATCCGTTACTTCACTACATGTTCAATGCAAAAACAGATTGATTTAATATTTAGAGCTCATTTCATGTTTGTTTTGTTTAGAAAATACAGTTACTTGTGTGTAAAATCATTTTAATGAAAGCTTACTGTAGGTCATTGATAGGACGCCAATGTATGAGGGCGTGACAAATTGTCACAAATGTCCAATCCGCTTTTCTATTGTACAAAGTTTGACGAGCGGTGGTACTTAAACAGTGTAAATATCATTGTCATTAGCTTGATGACATTGTTCAAGAACACCAAAGGGCTATAAACTATACTATAGTGACTGTGTCACCTGATTCAAAATAACATTGATTTAGAAAAAGTGCTTTGCAACCGCTGAGAAAAAGTTGAGTATAAGCCATGGACCTTGTAAACATGTTGTGAATCAAGGAACAGAAACAAAAAGTGAGGATGAACGAATGAAATGTATTCTCATAAACTTATTACACAATTACAAACACAAAAAGTATAATTTCAACTGTTTGAACAATACTTGTTTACTGACTTTTATTGACCTTTCGATGAAAGAATAGATTAAATATAATACAAGCCATTATGTGCCAACACAAAAATAATAAAAAAAAATGAGAGTCCATTTTACGGATATTTGACACTCGCTTCCCTATTTACGAGATTATTTAAAAAAATCAGGAGCCTCCCGTTTTCGTAATCTGAATGCAAGTAATCATGTTTTTGGCTTTGTGATGGTTCGTAGCTGACTAGTGAACGAATGTCCGTAAATTGATATTTTGTTATTAACCCATAGTATTATTAGCTATGCTAAATAATGGTTCAAGTATTTTAAACTCTCTTTTCGTATAGGATAGAAACAATTATTCGTTAATCTGAGCATAGAATTCATACTATCATATTCTGTATAAATGTTATCCCATAAGAAGAAAAAATAAGATGAAATATTTTCCGGCAGTCAGTAAAAAATTGCGTTGCATGTTATAAAAAACAAGTGTCCTCGATAAATTGGAAACAAGTAGTAGTCCATCATG